TGTGTGTTTATTGTTTAAACATCGATATTTGCCACCAGTATATCAGCAGGACAAAATACTTAGACAGCAGTGTTTGAACAACCCATTCAAACGTCTTAACTGATTCCCTTTAATAAATAACTTAGGCCACTTTCATCCTGCTGCGGTCTACACAGTCCACAGTCACAGAAACAAAGCCCATCTGTGAAGTGCAGGAGGTAAAAACAAGTGGTAGAGAAAGTGGGTCATCGTCAGCACTGATCTTAACGTTACAGCAGAGGGATCTCCACACACACACACTCACACACACACTGCTGCAACATCACTGACAGACGGCGGCAAATGTCAGCATCACGTGAAGCCTCGTTTCCACCACACTGCTACAAAAACAAATGCTGCTACACCTGCTCCGCCGTCAGAAAGAGGTCACGCACATTCCCGACAGGAAGATGTATTTTTAAGAGCACCGCGCCCCCACAACACGACCCTGCCTGAACCGATGGGAGTAAAAATAAAGGCAATCGTGTGCCAGGCAACTTCAGGGAGAAAACAGGTGCAGGTCGTCACGTGTGCACTTTAAGTTGTGGAAACCGAGTGGGCAGATGAGAACGCAGGGCCAGGATTTGAAAAGGAAGTTGGCATCACCAGAGGCCCTTCTTAGCAGTTGTCAACGGCTCGATGTGCACAGACAGGGGGAGCTTTCCTGTTGAGTCAGACTGGAACTGCACCGTGGTTGGAGAAAACTTGACAAACACAGACAGAGTGAAGAGGCTGGGTTTGAATCTGATTGGACTTTCCGTCAAAATGACTTCATCTGGTTTTACAGGTACGACATGCTAACATGCTAACATGGACACAGGGACCCTGCCAGGAATTCTGGGCCACATGGAAGGATATAACAATGGGCTCCTACGTAAAACACACAAGAACATGAATATAATGCAGAATTCACTATTGATTATGATCACTATGAATAATCAATTATCAGAATATGTTGATATTCTAATATTTTTGGGTCCCCCCCCCCTATACAGTTGCTAAGGCATGTACAATTACTGTGGTGGTTGTAATGTTTAAGCCTGTAGGTACAACCAAACCAGTGCTATGATTAAATTATTAAATTAGATTTATATAATAATATAATTTATATTTCCAAACCAAAACATCATGTACAAACACAACATAAATACTGGTGATGTACAGAAAGTTTCATTTAAAAAGATACAATAAATAATCAAAATAAATCAAGAGTTTGCTTAAGTATCGAAAAGTAGGTTTTAAAAATATAAAGTCAAAAAGTCATATTCTGAAGGAAAAAAAACTGCAAATAACACAAAACTAATGCCATTTAAGATGTGCCATTTCCAGAGTAATTGCAGAATTCAATATTGATTATGATCACTTTGAATAATCAATTATCGGAATATGTTGATATTCTAATATTTGTGGGTCCCTATCATTGAGGGCCCCCCCATACAGTTGCAAATAACACAAAACTAATGTCATTTAAGATGTGCCATTTCCAGAGTAAGGTGAGCACATGAGAAATAATTTAAAAAATCATATTATTATTAATAATGTGTTTGTTCCAGTTTTTCAGGTCTAACTTTAATACAATGTCAGAGAAGGTCTTTTTAGAGATGGGTCTTCTTTCCCCTGATAACTCAGGCATGTTGCAACTGACAATGTAAGGATGTGACATTGTCAGTTGTCACATCCTTGTCAGTGAGTCAACAGCGTCACAGATGAAATGACCTTCACACAGTCCAGACCAATTCCTACTGAGAATGTGGGAAGAATGGACACGATCCGTCAGATATTACTGCGATGACTCAGCCTTAATCACAGTTAAGGACAGTCTAAAACAGTGTTTCCCAAAATCGGGGTCACAGCACTGCAGGGACGTGGAGTATCTGCAGTAATGGAGGGAAACAAATCTGAACTTTTATGTTTCCTTTATTTGTCTCACAGCACAGAAACTGCACCGATTTGTCACTTTATTTCCCCTGACAGATCATAAAGTCACTTCTGTGGGAATACAAGTGTTTTACATAATAATTCAATGAAGTTTAGAAGGAAAAGCAAAACAATACCATCTATGGAAGGAGGGAAAAAGTTTGGGACCCACTGGTCTAATAAAAAAGAATCAAGTACATGAATTTTTAAGGCTCTCCTCTTAAACAACAACTATTTTTAACGCTGTGTGAAGAGTAGAAGAGGCCGTTCAGAATTAGTGCAACAACTTCCTCCTTGGGAAGAGTGGTGAAAAAGGCAGAACATAACGGCACTTCCTATCACAGGAACTGTCAGTCTCTACTGTCAGCATTTTACTCTTGTGCAACAATTTATAAGCGATCCTGAAAACTGTTAAAAAGATATATTTAATTTTTTTTAAAGCATCTTCCCTGCATTTCTGAAAGAACAGCTGTTTTTTTTATATCTATAATCAGGTAATTATGTTATAACATGAACAAAAATCTTCTGTTATGATCAAAGCCCGATTGTAAATTGGGCAGAAATTGGTTTACCGTAAATTTGGGTCATTGTTCCAAACGTTTGAAAACAGTAGTCTATACACAGAAAGCCAGTCGTGGGTAAGAAGGTTCTAAGCAAATACCAGGAATCAAGTTCCACAGTGTGATAGTAACCTGAACCACTAGGCCTTTGGCCAGCAGGTCTCAACTCTCCACAGATGTCAGAAGTATTGGCCTCCTACAGGTGCAGAGGTAAGCAGGTCCTGAAGCTCGCTGAGCACTTTTTCCATGGGAACCAGAGGCAGGAATGCATGAAGGCAGACGTGTTAGACTGGATGGGGCAGTTTCTGTGAGGCTCTCTGGTGCAAAGTAAAAGCCATGAGGCCCAGATGGGATCTGCACTTATTGTACTGGAAATGTCAACACTGAGGTCTGCCAACAATAAGGTGGAGGGCCTTACTGTAGGTTGTATAAGCCACTGAAAATACTAAAACAAAACAGTACCAGTCTTATCTGAGAGGGTCGGTGTTGTATCTCGAGGAAACAGCAGTGACATCAATCCATAATTTGTATATTGATTGTTTTTAAAATACTTTCTCTAAAACTCTCTTCAGTTGAATCAACTTTATTTAATTAATTTATCTTCTTAACAGCTCAGTACCTTGCTGGCCTGGGGTGTGTTGAGGATATGGACAGTGCTCGGCTTAACACCATTGGCTTTGGTCCTCTTGTACAGGGCAAATCTGCTTTTCCGTCTTCCCCGGTCTCCGTTGGGTAGAGAACCGTTGTATCTGTCAGGGTGGGAGGAGGAGGAGACGAAACAGCTATTGTTACCTTTATAAAACATCGTAATTATACCAGCAGTAAACACGACAAATCAGAAACATTTGTGCTTTATAAAAGGGAGTTTGGCATCGTATTACATCACCGGCGTTTCCAAAGCGTCCCATTAGCAATTTAAGTGTTACCTGGTATAATGTCCGCGGTTGCATAATGCACTCTAGTGCTGTGTAAACTGCAGCTGCTCGGCTCTTCTTTGTCTCAGGCAGGAACATGTTTTATGACTCATGTCACGTCTGTTATCACTTTGGTTTAGCACAGTTTGACTGAAGCAGTGACTGACGGTACACAGACACAGATCCAACCATACTATATAAAAGCCCTACATTTGAAAAACCTTAACAGCATTAATAAGTATGTCTAATGGATTTTAATTCGTTTTAGGGCCACTGAGAGACACTCTGCCTAGACGGTTTCTTGTGAATGAAGAACTCCCTTCCGGTAGGACTGGCTCTGTCCCCATCCACCGGCTGTTTCCTACAGCTGGGACGCCCCATGCTCGACTCCCACCCAACACACACACCTTCTGTCGCACATTCATATCATGCTACTATGTAGTAAAACAGACACTTCACAAGGGCTCTTGAATAGTGTGGCGTTAGCATACCACAGCTATTCACGATAAAAGGGCTCTTTAATATTGCGGCGTTAGCATACCACAGCTATTCACGAGGCGATGACTGACACAAACCTCTAAATGATCCAACATTTCTACATCAAGAGTCTGTCTGTTCATGTGCTGCCTGTTCTTCTTACATCCCTCCCTGGCTGCTCCACCTGTCCTGTGTCTCAACAATGCTGGCCAGGCATGAAAACACATGGTCCCAGTCAGCACGTAGCAAAGCTGGCCTGTAAGACAAGCCACCCACAGAGAGCTGGAGAGGCAGCGGATGATACTGTGGACAGAACTCCTACAAACACTGACAGTAGGAGGCAGAAAAGAGGAGCGACCAGAAGAGAGAACTACTCTCTCTTGATGTTGTTCCACATCTTAGATGAGGAGGAAATGCGGTGTTTTGCACTTGCTTACTCTTGAATGAGTGAATGTATGAATGCACCCGCTCAAATAAAGGTGTCTGCCTACTGGCCTCTACATACCGTGCAATATTAGCAATCTTAAACGACCACTGCATGACACATTACACACGTGGATCCAATAAACTTTGATACAACGTGAAGTTTGATGTGGGCAGATCGAATGATGACCATTTACTGAACTGCAGGTTACGACGTACGTATGCAGGACAGGACAGGAAAGTTACCTAAACTGTACATTTGTTTGGTTTTAAGCCTAGTTATCTTGGGTTATCTTTGGTGGAAGAAGCTGCCAACGACCGTCCTCGAACCTGTCTCAGAGTGCAACATCTTTACGTTTCACCCACGATGGTTGTCTTTCATCTGAAACAGTCCAAAAATCACACATCATATACCGATCATAAGAAACAGCACAGGTGACTTTTATTAATCCCCAGAGCACTGTGGAAGAATCATCTAGCATCCAGGGAAGGCCACTGCATGTCACCTTAGCTAGGACGGAGGTGTTAACGCTGCACTCAAAATAATTGTGTTTCCATGTCCTTCTTTGACCAGAGCCAGAAACACAGTGGATTTAACTTACAGTACTTAGAAGCAGGGATCAGAAGACGGGGAGGGGTTGGGGGCTATCACTTACACTTCTGTTCTGCACTAAGAAGCCGGCAGCCTCTACCTCTGATAGGAAGAATAACGTCCTTGTGTTTTTTAAAAAAAACCTGATGTGACAGAGTAAAATCCCTTTTATTTGTATTTGGTACACAGAAGAGTGGTTCTCTTCATCGAACGTGTACTCTGCACGTCACGCCTTGCTGTTGTACCACTGAGGTGGAACACTGCATAAATGCACACACACCACAGAGGAATTCTGTCTTCCTCGTTTACTTCTGTGAAAAGGCAACAAATTATGTTTTCAAAGCAGTGATGTCACGGTGGAAAGCACAGTGACCTCTACGTAGGAGATACTTGACAGTACTCTGTAAAGTAACCTGGCTTGTGTTTCCACCTCACGCCACCAAATACTGTGAAGAGCATGACTTCGGCTCCACCTACGTTTTAGTATATAGTCCAGCAAAGCAGCCAAGTTCAACACCTCTTCATTGAGTTTTAAACTTGAGGCTTTGGTGCCTGAGCTCTTCATTGAAGACGGGTTTTAAACTTGAGGCTTTGGTGCCTGATCTGGACCATGAAGTTCATTCAAATGGACTGTGGCAGTTTGAAATGTGTATACTAGCTGTGTAATAAAAATGTATGCGTAATAAAAATACATCATAGAGTAGTTGCATTTATACCATCTTCGAGTTAGAACCAAACCGTTGAAGCCAACAGTAAAGCTAATGTGGCTCTGGGTGAATTCTGTGCGACACGTCGGCCTTTGATGATAAATGAAAAGGTCTGAGTGGATGTTTGAGTCAAACATATCATTATGGTTACTGCTTCACGGGAAACAGATATAGACGTCAGGTCTTCCTTGTAACAGAGTCTAATGTGCTGAATATTTATCTCACAAATTTATCTCGTGAAAGCATGAAGTGCTTGAAAGCAGTTTTGCATTTGCAGAATCTAAGTGCAGTAAAGAATCACAACAAAGTAAACTGGAAGTATTGCTTGTGTTTACTATGGGAATCCACTGTCATCATTTTTCCTGGACAGATCTCAGCAAACATCAACTGTGACAACTTCCTGTCAATGACTTTTTTATACAAGAAGTTAGAAAACCTCACTCTTCAACATCATCATTTCAGTCATGGTGATTGGTCACACCATGGTGTGCTCAGTGATGTTAGACAGTCACGTCATGGTACTAGTCTCACACAGTGACTATTGTTGAAGTTAAAAGAACACTGCAGACACATATAAGACTTTCGTTGCCAGCGTGTACTAAACATTCCACAAAGTTGGTTTAAAGTGAGCTTTTTCACTGACGTGTTTGTCAGAAAGAAATGTAAACGTTTTGTCAAAAGGCCTAGTCTTTTGGCTACAATGGACAGAAAACGCTGAGGAACAGCGCAGGCGGAATCAATCCATCCATTCATTCATTTTTAAGATGCCCACACGGTCACCGACACACTGCTACCCTCTTCACTGACCAGCACCAAACCACTCCACCCAGGCAGTGACGGAGGCAGTCATGCAAGTAATAGGAGCCACGTTGGTCATGGCAACAAACCACAGAGGGAAGTACTGCTCAAACAAGCTTTGTTCCAAGCTGTTAGCTATCTTGTCTAGCATCAGTTTCATCAATAGGACGTGATGACACGGCAGCGATTATACACCCATCACATCTGAAACAAATATGTGCCTTTATGTTGGGAGGGAACACAAAAGCACCAGCATTAAACGTGCCACATGTTCAGCCGGGGGTAATGAGCAGTCAGCACTTTTTGTCTTTTATAATAAGGAGTGATGACTGGGAGGAGGGCAAGGGGACAAAACCACATAGTACTATGGTCTGTCTATGGTCTTTACAATCATTTCAAATGTGTTCCACAAATGCTGTGGAAGTGTTTGTTTTTGAAGACGCCATAACTTTCTCATGAGATTCAGTTTCAGCTCAAATCACTGATGACACAGCGACTGGTTTCCATTATGTGCTGCAGCTGCTGCCCTTCAGTTTATCAATATAAATGGGATTGTTTACAGTGACAACTGTTTTTTTTTAGAAATTTCAGAAAACCTACAGTAATGACTTAAAAATATTCTGCGATAAACAAAGAAAAGGCCACAGCAATATTTACTCAACAGCAGGATGAGACACGTAACGTCTATACCTGCAGATTTGCTTTGTTGTCTGCACTGCGTGGAATAAAAATGGGTGTCAACTGAACTGATTGCTGACAGTCCACATGCCGAGGCCAACTGTTGGTACATTACTAGATTTAAAGAGCATTCTAGAAAGTGGTGTTAAAACCTAGTACAAAAACTTTGTCTTTTTATGAGCTCCTCCTCCTAAACTTAGATTTGATTGTAGGAGGAAATGCCTGCAGTCAGCCAAAATATATAATAACAAAATCTCTGTACGTTCATAAAAAATATGCAACCTGAAAGCACAACAGTCACTAAGTGTCTTGTGGATAACAAACGACATATCTGTGGTCACAACAACATTCAAAAACTGATTGAAGACAATGCAGTGTAGTGAACAGTATTGACTCTTTACCACAACTCTTTTAGCTTAAGCTTTATAATACTTGATAATACTCAGGTTTACTAGTGTTCACCCTTGGGTTCGTGGACTATTGGTTGTATTTTTTAAATTTTCAAATGCGGCTTCATGTGTCCAAAACATCAAAATGTCATACACAAAGAAATCCACTGATGTTTTCTTTCAACCACAATCCAGAGTTCTTGACTTTGTTGTTAACAGAAGCAAGAATCCCTACAAGAAACTAACCTTTAATAATTTTAAAACAGCTTTGTTCACATTACAAGTTGAAATATTTGATCGTTAATAAAAAATACATGTTGACTTACGGAGCTCTCAGTTAGTTACTATTACTTGATTACATAATTACTATTACATAATTGAGTCCAGTAACCTCTTGGTAACCACCATTATACCAAGTAACTACTTGGCTTTCATGCTACAAGACTCCTAATTAGCAAGTCAAAACACAAAGTGGACGCCTCCATGAAAGTGGTGATACAACTAATAAGCATAACAATGTATGCAATTCTGCACATTTTATCACCCCTGCTACAGAGCCATGGGAAACAATAAGGCAGTTACTCAATAAATGGACACAACAGGGATATCAAGTTCATTAGACTGGTTTCGTTTGCCTCGTAGTGTGATGTTGGGCAGAGCTGAACAGCAACTATTCTACGAAACAAGTGTAAGGTGTAACAATTGACAGACGTCACATTTAACCACACTTAACAAGAGCACAACACATTAATGTTCCTTGAACTTTTGAAATCCGCCTGAAAACTTCACTATAAATTACAGAGCAGCCATCTTTGTTTTGGGCAGGGGTGCCAACAGCAGAAACCGGATGGGTAGGAATACTGCTACTTCTAACAAATACCTCTCAGAATGAAGAATGAAAATGAATGACATAACAAGAATGAATAAAAATAAAAATGGAATCCATATTTATTTCCTTCTGAGTTGACCTACAAACCAGAGATCTCTTCTGGTCTATTCCTGTGGCTTTTAGGTAGTTCAACATAGACTAGAAAAGACCAATAAACCTATGTTTCTGTGTTAGTGGTGAAATAATCAAAGACTCGAGAACGACAAGTTATTACGTTTACATGGGGCTAAAAACTATAGTTTTATTGGGTTAAGTAATAGGAAAGCTGTCAAAGTATGACGTGACAGTGAAGCTGACTACAGCACCGGAATTTTGTAGAATAGTAAAGTTTTGTAGGTTGAGTAACATATAGTACTAAATGAAGGAGAGAAGCCAATGGGGACTGGGGGAAGGGACCGTTACCACTTCCGAATTCCTCAACCCCACGAATCCAACTTTTAGGTAGGAGGTGGTGGCGTACTGGCCCCAGAGTCAGGAGGAGGAGGAGGTCGATTCCAATTTAACTAAATAAAGTGTATGAGTATTGATCATTTAAAATTACGTTACAGTGTTTATTTGCAGCTTCATGTTTCCTTCTAGGTAATAAAACATCGGAAGTAACAAGGAAAAAGTGCGTTTTCCTGATTGTGCACGTGTCTGTTACGTTGATCAACGGAGTCGAATCAAATTAAATTTATATTTTTTAACAATAAACCATGGGGTTTGTCTCTACGAAAAAGTTCAGGTTTCAATACAGTGGAAATACTATTGCGTAGTAGACACTTGGAACTTGTAGTCGCGTAGCCAAGTAAGCTACGCAAGAGCTCCGACGGTAAACTTCCTCAACACAAACCCCGTGCTTCTGGGACTACTGTTGAACAATCCTACATTATTAAGACAAGATGTGTACCAAACTGTACAGAAACACTGTTCGACTTACCCCAGCACCACCAGCTCCCCGTATTTTACCGGGTCTTTGGAAGGAGCGCAGTGCTCCTCTTGGCTTGACGAAAACATGAGGCTCTTGGCTCGGCTCTGTAACCTTAGCTTATTACAGTAATGATGACGGCTCAAAACTCAGCGCCGGGCTTCCCCTCTAAAAAACAACACACATCCTCCGTTTACACCTTATGCCCGACAGCGCGCTTCTGTGTGTCCAGTAGAAGTGGATATTTTTTTATGTAAACTGCTCTCAAACTTATCCGCTGTGCTGTGACATGGCAAAACGTAAGTTAGTTGGCGGTTGAATCAGCTCTGAAGCACATACAAAAACAGCGAGCACCAGGGCTGGACTGTACCATTCACTTCTTCTCTACTTTCTGTGGGGGGAACTCCCGAACGGCCACGACGATTAATCCCACATTATGACGAAATTGTTTGTCAAATTAACATTAATTTAAATGTTAAGATAATAAAAATCTTTGAATTTGTCTGTTTCTTTATTAATCATAAATACCTAAAATCGAACAATGAAATGTGTCCTAATACCACCATCGGTAATAAATGGGCTGCTCCTTGTGTTATGTAAACAAAGAGTACAATCTGGGAGTTCTTAAAAGGATCATGAGTTTCCTGAAATATTTTTTTGCAAAGAGTCCAGTTTCCCATCTTTAACTAACTAAAATGCTATTACACAAATTTTTCATTTCGCAATCATAAAAAACACACACGTAAGGGCATTTTTCGAGTTTCAGTAAATGGTTTTATGGAACATAATTCTGTTAAATACTATTCTTTCAAAAGTCAGGATGTCTAAACTTATTGAGGAAACAGAGAGACTGCTGCAAAAATTAAATATAAATATATTTTAATGTATATATATACATACATATATATTTATATATGAATATATAAAGCCAAACTCCACCACTGTAAAAATAAAGGTGTAGTTATATTGGCTGAATATAGTCGAATTACTTCACTAAGGAATTACATTTAAGCCCAGTCCGTTAGAATGCCATTGATAGCATGGTCAACATTACTTTAGTTTCGGGCCATATAACCCCTCTCCAAGTGTCGTGACTTTGGACATTCCTGGCTTAAGTGATCCACCAGAAGGTGTGACCTTAAGGGTGGGAACACATGGTTGAAATAATGTCCCTGTACATTTCCTGCCTGAGCTAATGTGCAGAGTACAAGCAGGTTGAAATGAGATTTGCTTATTTTGGTTTCAACTCCCCGGGCTCTTTAAGGGCCTTTATTTAATTACAACTCTTCTGCATTTGGCTAATGCCCGTGATTCATTAGGTCAACGTCTGCAAGCCTGGAAGTTTTAATTCAAAATTGGTGTTGCACATTACGACAATGTCATGCCGCTGTCATGCTTCTTGTTGTTATTGTTCATTTGGTACAAACACGTGTTACTGTTAAAGTGGTTGAATTACCATGTAATAAGATTTATTCCTAATCAAGTTTCTTTT